CCAATCCTTGGCAAGAGTGCGCTGAGGACGGTGGGGTTCTAAGCCAAGCTGGCGATGATGACCGACAGTGCGGCCTGAACCTGTGGATCAACAGACGGAGAAGCCGCAGCCAAAGGCTGGGCCGGGGCGTGGTCTGTCTTCTCTGTGCGCTTCTTATCCAGGCCGATGCGGGCATCAGGGGCGCCGCCGTTGAGCTGGTTGCGCAGGTCCGTCGTGAGGTTGATGGCCTCCTGGAAGACGTCCCCTCCTCCGACCTGGTCGGCCGTGGCGTCCTTCTCACGCTCCCTGGTCTCTTTATCCTCAGGGATGACCTTGTTGACGAGGTTGCGGTTTGACTTGGTTCTTCCCATGATCAGTGGTTAGCTGTGCTTGGTAGCGACGAATGGTGCTAACTTGATTGTTCTAGCTCTCAATGAGAGCACCAAATGATAGAGTATATATCTAGAGAGAAGTGAGAGCTAGAGAGAGAAGTGCAAGTAAATGCTTCAATAGAATGATTTTGTAACCCCTACAACTACCTCCAGAGGAAGTATTTATAGGAAAAATATGGGCTGGGCTCCCAAGCCTTGGGCTTGGGAGGCCCATTTACAACTGGATCGCTATTGGGCCGAATACAATGTGTGTAGAAATGATTAAGTGTAAAATCTAGTTCTGTGAGGCTTTCGTGGCCGATGAGGGCACGACCGATGAGGGCACGGCCGACGAGGGCACGGCTGACGGGGACACCCAAGTTCCCTGGCTTCAAGATCATATTCTGAGTTGGTCCCTCTTCGGCCGACGGGGATCCTTGGGCCGACGAGGGCACCACTTGATGGCTTGCACCTTTTGTTCTTCTGAGTATGCGGGTCCTGGGGCCTAGACCCATATACTCCATCAGTCCCATTTCTTCTGGATATGCACAAAATAGAGTCCAAAACGTGGCTATATAAGTTGTTTGTGAATCCAGAATGGCTAGATGATACGGTAATGAGTTACTTGTAGTACTAAAACAATATGTTATAGATCTCAATGTTAAATATGAAAAAACACATGCACGAGTAACCCTAGCTAATTCTCTACTGCCTCTGCTTTTTGGATTTATTTTCTGATTCTTCGATAGGGAGGATGTAGAAGGATGGAGAAAGAATTGTTTCATCTCTACACAAAAAAAACACAATCTCTTTTTCAAGAATCAAAGGCGAGATTGCTTTTCGCCATAACTGAAGGTATGGATTTGCTCATGTTAATCGTCTCAACATTCTCATACAATCCATTTTACATTATTTCATTTTATACTTGGATATTTTGATTGAATTGAATTTCTGGATGATGCAAGTTAGAAGCCATCTACATTAATAAATTAATACTCTTCTTCATTTTTTTTTTGTTATGAGTTTGATTGCCAGGGCTAATTTAGAAACTGGACAGGTCACATATTTATATGATTGCAAATTGAAGATTTTTTTCCCTACGCTTATAAGTAAATTATGAGAAACTTTATATCTCTATTTATAATTTTAATTTAAAGTTAGAATTTGTTGAAATTGCTAGTTTAATGCTTACTCTGTTCACAGAATTTTGTATTCTCATTCATCAAACATGGATGCTTCATCGAGTCCAATTGATGGAGTAGAGAACTTGGTTAATAATATTCATGCTAATAGCACACAAGACATTCCAAAGAGGGATACTGCACATATACCACATCTGAGTATGGAGTTTCAATCTGAGTATGGAGTTTAATCTCTACACCAAAAAAACACAATCTCTTTTTCAAGAATCAAAGGCCAGATTGCTTTTCGCCATAACTGAAGGTATGGATTTGCTCATGTTAAACATCTCAACATTCTCATACAATCCATTTTACATTATTTCATTTTATACTTGGATATTTTGATTAAATTGAATTTCTGGATGATGCAAGTTAGAAGCCATCTACATTAATAAATTAATACTCTTCTTCATTTTTTTTGTTATGATTTTGATTGCCAGGGCTAATTTAGAAACTGGACAGGTCACATATTTATATGATTGCAAATTGAAGATTTTTTTCCCTACGCTTATAAGTAAATTCTGAGAAACTTTATATCTCTATTTATAATTTTAATTTAAAATTAGAATTTGTTGAAATTGCTAGTTTAATGCTTACTCTGTTCACAGAATTTTGTATTCTCATTCATCAAACATGGATGCTTCATCAAGTCCAATTGATGGAGTAGAGAACTTGGTTAATAATATTCATGCTAATAGCACACAAGACATTCCAAAGAGGGATACTGCACATATACCACATCTGAGTATGGAGTTTCAATCTGAAGCAGAAGCATATGACTTTTATAATGCATATAGTAGGAGGTACGGATTCGGCATTCATCGAGAATATGAAAATAAAAGCAAAAAGGATGGAATGTTATGATGAAATCATCCCTTCATTCCAGTGGCTATTTGAGACATTTTTTAAAGCCATGAGTGGTGCAAAACCAAAAACAATTTTCACTGACTAAGATGTAGCAATGGCTATAGCCATTTGTATTGTGATGCCAGAAACATTTCATGCATTGTGCACTGGGCATATCAGAGAAAATGCACTTAAGCATGTGAACCATCTATACCAACATAGTTCGCATTTTTGCGTGGATTTTGAAGCATGCATTGATTTGCATGAAACATAACATGAATTGGAGAATGCGTGGAATGCTCTACTTGTTGATAATGATGTTTCTAATGACTCATGGTTGCATACCATTTTTTTGGTGAAGGAAAAATGGGCTTGGGCCTATGTTCGATAAACGTTTACCGCGGGCATGAGATCCACTAAAAGTATATGTAGACCAATCGTTTTTGTCGTGCGTATGCACAGGTACTGTGCTAGTATAATCAAAACCACTTCTACGTATGAGAGAGAAAATTCTCCCGTTCAAGTTTTAGCCGGTTTATCTTCTTATACCTAAAATCACTACGTATGAGAGACAAAATTCTCACGCTCAATTGTTTTAGCCGAATTATCTCATACCTAATATAAAAGCACTACGTATGAGAGAGAAACAGCTCCTGTTGAATTGTTAGCCGTCTTATGTACCTAAAAGTACAACATATGAGACTGAAAATTCTATTGCATAAGTTTTAGCCGGCTTATCTTTGACCTAAAAGCACTACGTATGAGTCAGGAAATTCTCCCGCTCAATTATTAGTCCATTTATCTTGTTGTACCTAAATACACTACATATGAGAGAGAAAATTCTTCCGCTCAATTGTTAGCCGACTTATCTTATATTAAAAAGAACTACATGTGAGAGAGAAAGCTTTCACGCAAAACTATTAGCAAGCTTATCTTGTATGATCTAAAAGTACTACGTATGAGAGAAAAAGTTTTCCACTCTATTGCTAGTCGCCTTATCTTTTACCTAAAAGCATTACATATGAGAGAAAAAGTTCTTTCGCTCAATTGTTAGCCGTCTTATCTTATACTTAAAAGAATTGTTCATGAGACATCAAGTTCTCCCACTCAATTGTTAGCAAGCTTATCTTTTGACACCTAAAAGCACTACATGTGAGAAAGATTTTTTTTGTTTCATTGTTAGTCGACTTATCTTACCTAAAAGCACTACATATGAGAGAAAGTTCTTTCGTTCAATTGTTTACCGACTTATCTTATACTTAGAACACTACTTATGAGAGAGAGAGAGAGATTTCATGCATAATTGTTAGCAAACTTATCTTCTAATACCCCAAAAGCACTACATATGAAAGAGAAAATTTATAATGACAATACTAACATTTATGAAATTTGATATATTTTTTATAAAAATTAGAGAAACAATAAAATCATTATAACACTTAGAAGAAAATCGTGTTTTTTTACACACTGGACATCTTCCTCATTTAGAATGTTATTTAGATTCCATTTGGTAAACTCAAATTACGTGAATCTACTGAAAATGTTGAAGTTGTGGCCGAATTTACTGAATAATGAAAATTTTGCATTTTAAAATATACTCTCATTATAAAATAAAGATAAAAGTATATGAAAAGTATATTTGTGTTATATTCTCATATAACACTAATATTATATATATAAATTTTAATATTTTTTGAATATTCATTAAACAACTTTTTATTTTTCAACATCGTCACGCATTTTTTCGTATTAAATAAAAAAATAATTCATAATTGTGAACAAAATAAGGATAATGGATAATATTGTGACTTATTAACTTTTGGTAATTATAATTTATGTTTTACGTAGTATTTAGTTTCATTTTTGTTCACAAATTCTATTCGAGAAGTTTTTCCTAATAGTCGATTTGATATAATTTAAACAAAATTATAGTCACTGAAAATTGTTATTTTCAAGGATTATTACTCATACTCAAGACAATTAATAAAAAATACATCACAGTTCACTCTAGACTAATAGTGTGCACAGAAAAACGATTCGAAACTACATAAATTAATAGATTTTTTATATTCAATTTTAATGTCATATTAAAGATAATGAAAAATAAGAATCTTTTTCTTATAACAATCAAAGTACAAATAGAAAAGTCATAACAATATAAAACATACTACACCCGTCCCTTAAAACTTTGCCAAAGTTGATCGATATAGAGAAGAATAAAGTAAAAATTGTGTAGTTGAGATTTGTGCAGAGGAGAGGGAAATAACATAAACCACAAAATAATTAATTAAAAGGAAAAGTGACAAAGTTTTTGGGACGTCCAAAAAGGAAAGATGACAAAGTTTTAAGGGATGGAGAAAGTAAGTTTTATTAAGTGCTAAATTACTTTTTATTTTTATATATGATTTCATATGAAAGCTAATAAAAAATTATAAAATTTGATATGTTTTTTGTGCTAATAAGAATACAAATAAAAAAGATATAAGACTTTAAAATAATATGGGGTTTTATTTGTGTTTCAATGATTGAAAGTGGCGTGAAATGGAGAAAAATGGTGAATCCAAATGCCATTATATAACGGTATAATTGTTTTTAAAGGAGATTTCTTTTATTACAATATACTCCCGTATAAAATAGATAGATTTTGGAAATTTGATACGTTTATGTCTTATTTGTAAAATTTTCCCTCTTTTTTGCAAAATCCATCGATCGATTTCTAGAGCTACAGCCTGACAAACTAACCCTAACTTCATCCGATCGATTTCCATTCCTAATTTCCTTCGGATCGCTGCCGTACTCGTAGCTAATATCCTTCTCAACGGGTGATTCTTCTTCCACCGGTAGAGCACATACTCCGTCGCCCGCCGTCAGTCCATGGCACCCTTCAACAGTTCGATCGATTGAGTCCCTTGCAGCACTCCGTCATCGTACTCCGTCGTTGCACTACGCCCGGCCGCCTTACTGCGCCTTACTGCCTCGATCTTCTCTCTCAGGTTCATATATACTTATTTTATATTGCAAATAGGTAATGGATGTTGCGATTTCAGTATGTTAATTAGCATTTTGGCTGTCCTTTGCTTGTTGATTTCTGCCAGTTGTGTTTCATTATGTGCGATTAATTGCTTCTTTCTCCTTGTTGTGTGTTTCACTCAATGTTCTAAATAGGCCGACTTCATCGCAAAATCAGGCCACTCCCTTCTACAGCCGCAAAAAAATTCCTCTAGCTTACCTCCTCATCTTCTCCCTCTGTACGTGAGTCTCTTCTTTAGTTCTCTTCTCCAGCCGCCCACAACTCCAGTTTCATCTTCAGTTTTCATCTTCAGTTTTCAATAATATTTAGATTTGATTTGTGTTTTACATCCCAAAGTATGATCATAGAAACTGATTTTGGTTAGTTAGTAAACATCTGAGTGTATTTCTACATATTAATGTGTGTGATGAAACTCATCATCGATATATATATCAAGTAGTTTGTGAAAAAAATATGAAGTAACTCAATATTCTTGTTTGCATACAATGTGTTTGACAAAAATCCTCAAAGAATTGAGAAGCCTAACATAAGTGAGTTGTATGGACGAAATGTCATCAAAATATTTTAGTTTTTAGTTTCAAGTTGTTTTAACATTACACTATTACTCTATTTGAGTACATCTATATCAAATTGCAACTCTAATTCAATAAGGAAATATGATTAATGTATAATTTTCTTACATATCCCAATCTGATTTGCTTTGTTTATTTATAGATATTGGTATGACTTGGGAGAGGGTTTACATACAATTCCGGTCATTCTACATATAATTTTTTTATATATATTTTTCTACATATAACTCTGGTCTTGTTTGCACCTTTGCGGTCATTCTACATACAATTTTTAAATATTGGGTTTTCCGTTATTTAAATCATGTTTCTCCGTCATATGTTGTTCTTTATCATTCATTGACTTGGGGCAGATAATATCTATGGCATATATCTTGTGGCTTATTTCAGCTTCTAAATACGGAAAATTAACTTCATTACCATGAGGTTTATTTAAACATGTATCTGATCAATTTATGTTCATGTTCAATGTATGCTAAATCAGATTTCTCAAATGTTTCTGGACATTACGTTACTATTTTTATCTTTAATTGTAAAGTGCAGCCTCTCTTGAAAATCAGAATGACACACAATTCGTTGATATGTATTATTACGCCCTTAATATAACTTACGAGTTACGGCTTAATTAACATAATCTATTTATTGAGATTCTGCACATATATCTACGTTTGCATAGTTTGGAAATTGTGTCATCCTGCCGATGCTCAAGCTTGGCAACACATTGATAAAATCTAGCCTGATTTTAGTGAAGATCCTAGGAATCTTAGGTTGGCACTTTCAAGTGATGGAGTAAATCCGCACAGTTCACTTAGCTCTTCGCCTCTTCCTACAATGTTTGGCCCGTACAATTAGTCATTGATAACCTTCTGCCTTGGTTGACCATGAAACAAAAGTTCATGATGTTGTCTCTATCATCATCATGACATTATTATTATTATTATTATTATTATTATTAATCGAATATATTTGATTAACATTTGAATCGAATATACTGATATTTGTATTTGATAACAATTCGAATCAAATTTAGTAATCTTATTTGTATTTGTATTGAATTTTTTCAAATCTGAATCGTCTTATACGAATTCAAACCCCGAATCAAGCTCGTATACAACCATACTCTATAGTGCATCCACATTGTTTCGTTTAAAATCTATATTTATCATTTAGATCTGACTCGGGTTCCTTTGTTGGGAATATAATTTAGGGCGTAACCACGGTTGGATCAAAAGAGCGTTGATATTTCACACCTTAAGGGCTTTGACGAGGATTCACTTGACCCTATTTATGGAATAGTTGCTGATAGAGAGCGGGAAAAGTATGGGCGGGACTGGGCTTGGGCCCACATCCGTGGGCCGGGTTAGGGTTGTCTTTATAGTTTATTTATTATTATTAAGTTAATGTTATGTTTTGGTTTGGGCCTTTTATTAGTAGAGTACTTAGTAGAGTTAGTATGGGCCTAATTAAGATTTAATTAATATGGGCTTGATTAGGGTTTCTTGTAGAAGGCTATTTATACCCCTTGCCAGAGTTCATTCTTATTATCTTGGAATAAAATTGGTTTTAGCCTTTTGGCTCTGGGCAACGGTATTTTTATCGTTGATTATCTGGTCAACGGTTTATCCCGTTGATTTTTATTTTTCTGCTACACAACAATTGGTCCGACCTGCCGGATCCCATCCCGCCAGGATGACAAGATCTCAAAACGATCGATTGACCGAGTTAGAGACCGAGCAACACCGACCGGGAGAGGAGCAAGCTAGATTAGGGGCTGAGCAAGCACGAATGGTGATGGAACAAAATCGGATGATTAGCACCTTGGAAGAGCATGGCATGCGGCTGGCTGAAATCATCGCATCACTGGCAACGCTCACGCAAATCTTGGTGTCACCGGTTTCGCAGGCAGCTTCCTCAGCTGCGGTCGGAATGGCGACGCTCACGCAGACCTTGGTGCCGCGGGTTTCACAGGCAGCGTCCTCAGCTGCGGTCGGAAGTGCGACCGTAACAGCAGCCAGCGACGGCGGACTGCCCAGTGCAGCCACTGTTCTCCTTCCCTCATTCGACGGCGAAGACCCTATTGGGTGGTTGGCGAGAGTGAAGCAACAATTTGAGCTCAACAGGACCCCAATGGACCGACAAGTTGCAGCGGTTAGAGTTTCTATGGAAGGAGCAACCCTCTATTGGGTAACATGGCTGAGAGCGCGCAAACCAGACCTGACCTGGGAAGAATTCAAGCAAGCCCTGGTGGCTAGATTCGATTCCTGATTCCAAGGGAATAAATTTGAAAGGCTTTCCGGCGTCAAACAGATTGGATCAGTAGAGGAATACAATACCTTGTTTGTTCAACAGGCTAGCCAAGTTCCGGGATTGACTGATGCTCATTATTTGGGCTACTACATGAGCGGACTTAAGGAAGCAATTCGAAGCTCGTTGCGCTTATTTCGACCGAATAATTTGGAAGAGGCCATGGAATTAACTCGCGATGTGGAGTACAATCTGTCCGTCCAGAGCAGTGAAACTGGAAGCCCAAATTATAATCCTTCAGGGGTACGTTCCAGCAGCTTTTTAATGCCAAACACGAGTCCTCCGTTGTCTGCCGGTGGTGGCAGCCTACATGGATCAAGTAGCCACTTCCCGAAGGATAGTGGACAGCCTCTGGGGACGAAGTCAGGGTTGTCCGGGCAGTCCACGACACGTTCTCAGTTCACTGGGCTTCCGCCGAAAGAGTTTGCAGAATTACGGGCAAAAGGATTATGCTTTAGGTGTAAGAAACCATTTACACCGGGCAACCCACGACACGTTCTCAGTTCCCACGACTGTCCCTTTAAGCAGCTGCGGGTAATGGTAGCCGAGGAGGATGAAGAGTTGGACCTCCAACAACATGAGTACTGTGAAATAACCGGCCATGAAAGGGTTTAGGAAAGAGAGGAATGATATTTTTCAGTCTATTCTATGTCTGGAAATTTCAGTTCCCCGTCTGTGAGATTTAAACCTTGAGGACAAGGTTATTTTGAAGAAGGATGGATTGATAGAGAGCGGGAAGAGTATGGGCGGGATTGGGCTTGGGCCCACTTCCGTGGGCCGGGTTAGGGCTGTCTTTATAGTTTATTTATTATTATTAAGTTAATGTTATGTTTTGGTTTGGGCCTTTTATTAGTAGAGTACTTAGTAGAGTTAGTATGGGCCTAATTAGGATTTAATTAATACAGGCTTGATTAGGGTTTCTTGTAGAAGGCTATTTATACCCCTCGCCAGGGTTCATTCTTATTATCTTGGAATAAAATTGGTTTTAGCCTTTTGGCTCTGGGCAACGGTATTTTTATCGTTGATTATCTGTGCAACGGTTTATCCCGTTGATTTTTATTTTTCTGCTACACAACAGTTGCCCTTCTGGAGGTAAAGTTTCACTCAATTTTGACAAGTTATGTTACGTAATGTGTGCCTGCAATTTAGCGTATCTATAAACACAAGCAACGATGGGTTCAAGCTTCCACAATCATATGCGTCAAGTAGTACGAATAGGAAGCAGTAGCTTGTTTTGGTCTTTCTTAAGGATGTGCTACTGACGTACTGTATATTATTTGGATTAGCATGATTTCAGATTTCACGGATTTTTTTCAAAGTGAGAGGTAGCTGGTTTGTTGATGGAGGAATGAAACAAACTAGCTGAGTTTAGGTATCATATGTTGTTTTCAGGACTTTAGTGATGCGCTTTATTGATGTTTCCATTGTTATTTTTGCTAAATAAGTTTTAAGTTAATTACTGCTTAAAATGTACTTGATCCTGCTTGCAGAATGTGTACGAAGAACACACTGTTTAAGTTAAGAGAAATCGGCGAGCCATCCTGTAGTTCCCTTTAAGCTTGTTTGGTTTAGAGGCTCCCTGGGATTCTTATTTAATATATTACTCATACACCTGTGCTGAAATACATCATCTAAGTAATTATATAATTATTTGTAACCTAACATTAACACAAGATATAAATTAGTAAAATAAAAATCAATATAATCCTCCCCCTCTTCCTAATGAAATCCCAAATCTAATTAGTATTTTGTTTTCTTTGTTCCTAATGAATGTTTCCAAAAGTAGAGTAGTAATCTTAGTTTTAAAAGGCACGAGGCGGCTTGAGGCAATTTCATTGATTCACCCAAGGCGCTAGGCGCTAGGCGGTGAGGCGTGCGCATCATGGATCTCACCAATAAAAAATTGTTAAAAATATGTTAATAATAAAAACTGTCATTTTATGCAATTCATAGTTAATAAATCAGTGTTCTAACACTACAATATGTATTATATAGTATCATGATATTATCATTGTTATGTAATATACTATAAAATAATACATATTTAATTAATAAACTATCACACAAATACAATTCTGTAAAATTAATTACAGACAGATTTGTAAATTTAAATAATTTAAATAATTTTTATAAATTTAAAAACTTAAAATACTTAAAAAACTTACAAACTTAAAAGGCCTAACTTTTTTCCAGTTATCTATCAAAACTTATAAATAGCCAAAGATAATACTACGTATGTATTAGTTGTCTAACTTTTTATTTAAATAATCTTAATATTTTTATAAATATATCATTCATCATCATTATCATTACCCTAGTGCCGCAAAGGCTCCCACCTACAGTGGGGTTGGATGTACGCAGTCTTACCCCTGTACTAAAGCACAGAGAGACTAAAGCACAGAGAGACTAAAGCACAGAGAGACTGTTTCTGAATGACCCATAGTGAAAATCGCGTCGAAAATTGCATAGACAGACTGCTACTTCATAACAAAGAAGCGCAGACAGTTTAGTGAGTCACGCCACTTTTATCCATCGGTTCCAGAGATCGGTTAAACTGATGCTCTCTGAAACCCTCCGTCCTTGCTCTCTTCGTCTCTACAAACTTCCTCCCTTCTCCTCCATCCTCTACATCGCTTCTCCCTTCATCCTTGTTTCCTTTGTCCCTATGTCTCAACGTCTCCTCCAAGGCTGCAAACTATTTCTGCTAGTTCTATAATGCGAGTGATACACCAACTTTCTGTTTCCCTTCATCGTTTGTGTTTGTACTCAAACAATGGCGGCCAACCGGTAATTTGACAATGAGAACGCTGATGGTTATATATCATATCTTCGTCCTCATTTGTATTTAAGAAGTTGTATCTGTTGACTCATGCATGTTACTTGACAACATTTTTGTTTGAGTAGGTACGGTACCAATTTTTAAAAGGGTTTTCACACTTTTGTAAATCTAATTATTTAATCGTTTTGATGGAGGATACATAAAACCTAATCAGATCTATCATTATTACACAGATCATTGAGTATTTTAGTTGTGTATGATGTTTGATGCATTTAAAAAATGGGAATAAATTTTATGTTCTAGATTTCGTAGAGTATTTTGTAATCTATATTTAATTTCTATGACATTATAATTGTCCGGTACTGGTTCTAATTTTATGATGTTTACTTATTTTTATGTTAATAAATTAAAAAATGGGACTAATATATAACAATGCCATGAAGGGTTCCAAACAATGTATGATGTTTACTTAATTTTATGTTATTTAAATGAATCTTGTGATTAGTTTTTTTTAAAAAAGTTTTTGTAAAAGTGATTTAACCCTGTAGCGGTTCATAACTAATAAACGACATGTCTTATCGACTGAGATAGATTATACTCGTATTTTGAATATGTGTTTGAACTAAACTATCCTACTTTTTGAAATTTGCAATGTAATTGTCAATATGTCGAATCTTAAACATAAATTAAAACACATGATTTGGAAGCGGTCCAAATCTTATAATTTTCCATGAAGTTTTCCATCGTAGAAAGCACCCTTCCATGAAGTATTTAATACTCCTTCCTGAAACAGGACCACAAAATAGTGAGATGAAAAGGCTTCTACCATGTATCTTCTTATTTTAAAAATTGTCTTGCTTCGGTTCATTAAGCATATCACAAAGAGTAGCTATGGTGATATGGTCACTGAGAACATCCTCACTTTTTCACTCTGTGTCAACTGTAAACGTAGTCAACATTGCGTTATCATCTTCTATGCCAAATCTGATTTACGAATGGTATGTATTAGTTGAAGCATCTAATATTAATGATGTTATTAATAATTATTGAAGTGCAAAAATCTGAAAAATTTTTATTCCAATTAATTGGATTCTATAGTGCAGTAAGATAAAATGTGTACATTAAGAAAGAATTTGAGGTGTGCTAGGTATAGTAAATGGTTGAGTTTTATATGTTAGGAATCTATAATGATTTGGTGAGCGTGAGCATATCCTAGTGTATAAATTATAATTTATAAGCCCATTCTAATAAAATGAATAGATTGATTATGGCCTCTTAACTGTACAGATTCATTATACACATGAAATGATATTTATACGACCACATGCTCCGATGTTTTTCGACATCAAATTTAATAATTAGAGAATAAGTCTACATTTAATCTTAATGCAGAAGCTTGGTGTTAAGGCTGTAACTTTCAGACAAATCCAATCCTCTTGTGCACCAAGGTAATTCAAATTGAAAGTGTTTGCTTGTGTAATGATATAATTTCTTCACACACTCTGGATACATCTATGCGTTTGAATATAATTACTTTAGGTATATTATGATCTTGTGGTTTTCCCCCTTTATCAATTATATGAAGTTTGCATTTTTCAGTTCTTTGCATTGTAAAGTCGCCATACTTCTTTTCCTTTTATCGGAAGAGGCAGATGACATTACAATAGGCTAAACGCATAACACATCACTTTTGTAAAAGACTAGATTCTCACCCGTGCGATGCACGGGACATATATGAAGTAATAGCTATATCATATTATTGGTCAGTAGTATTAGGTACGGTATAAATGAATGCAAAATGTAGAGGTGGGCACGGTCCGGTCCAATATTTTGCCGATCCCGTACCCGTACCGTGACTATTGAAACAGTTCGGTTTGGTTCGGTCTTAGACCTAAATCCGTTCGATACGGTTCTATTTTCAAATGGAACGGTACCATGCCATACCAATATCAAACAATGCCACTTTTTTCAAATGGTTAAGTGAAAATTAAAGTTTTGTCATTCTCGACAAGTCCACACAATTTATCAATTTCTAATTTGGATTTTGCAACTTTAAAGAGATTTTAATGTGGTTTCTAAATATGTAAATTTTAACTATTAAAAATTGTATTAATTATCAATAGAGTGGACTTAACATTAGCATTTGTTGACCAAAAAGTATTGACTTTACATATCAATTTGGGACGGATTAAGTAATTAATAAATTTTAGATAAACTATAGTAGTACAAATTTAAATAATTAAACCATACTTCGGTCCAGTTCAATCCGGTACCGGTTCTAATTTTATGAGAACCCGTCATGGCATTGTTTGGAACCGGTACGGTCTGATTTGGGACAAAAAAATTGAGATCCGTTTCGAACCCCATTTATCAATCCGTTATCATACCGATCCAGTTCGGTACCATGCCGGTTCAGTAATTTTGCCCACCCTTAGACAGATGTATAATTGGCATGATTATTTTTTGAAATAAGAAGGAAGAAATATATCTTACAATAAGATTTGGAGTATTATTGAGTAAATAAACCTGGGCCACACCACTTTTATCCATCGGTTCCAGAGTTGTCGGTTAAACTGATGCTTTCTGAAACCCTCCGTCCTTTCTACCTTCGTCTCTACAAACTTCCTCCCTTCTCCCCCGTCAGTTCTTTTCTACACAGCTTCTCCCTTCATCCTTGTTTCCTTCGTCCCTACATCCCTCCATCTCCTCCAAGGCTGAAAACTATTTTCGCTAGTTCTATAAAGTGAGTGATGCACCAACTTTCTGTTTCCCTTCATCGTTTGTGTTTGTACTCAAACAACGGTGGCCAACCGGTAATCTGACAACTGGAACGCCGATGGTTATATGTCATATCTTCGTCCTCAATTGTATTTAAGAAGTTGTATCTGTTGACTCATGCATGTTAATTGACAACATTTTTGTTTGAGTAGGTACGGTACCAATTTTTAAAAGGGTTTTCACACTTTTGTAAATCTAGTTATTTAATCGATTTGATAGAGGATACCTAAAACCAAATCAGATCTTTGAGTATTTTAGTTGTGTATGATGATGTTATGTTCTAGATTTCGTAGAGTATTTTGTAGTCTATATTTAATATATATGACATTGAATTCGTTTACTTAAATTCTATGTTATTTGAATGGATCGTATGATTAGTTTTTTTTTAAAAGTTTTTGTAAAAGTGATTTAACCCTGTAGCGGTTCATAACTAATAAACTACAGGTCTTATCCACTGAGATATATTATACTCCTATTTTGAATGTGTGTTTGAACTAAACTGTTTTACATTTTGGAATTTGCAATGTAAATGTCAATATGTCGAATCTTAAACATAAATTAAAACTAAGAATCCATGAAAATCTATTTGCATTATTATTCGGAAAGAGTTAAGCACATGATTTGGAAGCGGTCCAAATCTTATAATTTTCCATGAAGTTTTCCATCTTAGAAAGCACCCTTCCATGAAGTTTTTAATAGACTCCTTCTTGAAATAGGACCACAAAATAGTGAGATGAAAAGGCTTCTACCATGTATGTTCTTATTTTAAAAATTGTCTTGCTTCGGTTCATTAAGCATATCACAAATAGTAGCTATGGTGATATGGTCACTGAGAACATTTTGCTTCTTCACTCTGTGTTAACTGTAAACGTAGTCAACATTGCGTTATCATCTTCTATGCCAAATCTGATTTACGAATGGTATGTATTAGTTGGAGCATCCAATGATTAATGGTGTTAATAATAATTATTGAAGTGCAAATTTTATGCCATTTTGAACATTGATATTTCCTCATTATGTAAGACAAATCTGAAAAAAATTTATTCTAATTAAGTGGATTCTATATTGCAGTAAGATAAAATGTGTACATTAAGAAAGAATTTGAGGTGTGCTAAGTATAGTAAATGGTTGAGTTTTATATGTTAGGAATCTATAATGATTTGGTGAGCGTGAGCATATCCTAGTGTATAAATTATAATTTATAAGCCCATTCTAATAAAATGAATAGATTGATTATGGCCTCTTAACTGTACAGATTCATTATACACATGAAATGATATTTATATGACCACATGCTCCGATGTTTTTCGACATCAAATTTAATAATTAGAGAATAAGTCTACATTTAATCTTAATGCAGAAGCTTGGTGTTAAGGCTGTAACTTTCAGACAAATCCAATCCTCTTGTGCACCAAGGTAATTCAAATTGAAAGTGTTTGCTTGTGTAATGATATAATTTCTTCACACACTCTGGATACATCTATGCGTTTGAATATAATTACTTTAGGTATATTATGATCTTGTGGTTTTCCCCCTTTATCAATTATATGAAGTTTGCATTTTTCAGTTCTTTGCATTGTAAAGTCGCCATACTTCTTTTCCTTTTATCGGAAGAGGCAGATGACATTACAATAGGCTAAACGCATAACACATCACTTTTGTAAAATACTAGATTCTCACCTGTGCGATGCACGAGACATATATGAAGTAATAGCTATATCATATTACTCGTTAGTAGTATTAGGTAAGGTATAAATGAATGCAAAATGTAGGGGTTGGCACGGTCCGGTCCAATATTTTGCCGATCCCGTACCTGTACCTTGACTATTGAAACAGTTCGGTTTGGTTCGGTCTTAGACCTAAATCCGTTCGATACGGTTCTATTTTCAAATGGAACGGTACCATGCCATACCAATATCAAACAATGCCACTTTTTTCAAATGTTTAAGTGAAAATTAAAGTTTTGTCATTCTCCACAAGTCCACACAATTTATCAATTTTCATTTTACATACTACCTGCGTACCAATTTGATATGCAAAGTCAAACTTTTTTATGTCAAAGAATTTCTAATTTGGATTTTGCAACTTTAAAGAGATTTTAATGTGGTTTCTAAATATGTAAATTTTAAATATTAAAAATTGTATTAATTATCAATAGAGTGGACTTAACATTAGCATTTGTTGACCAAAAAGTATTGACTTTACATATCAATTTGGGACGGATTAAGTAATTAATAAATTTTAGATAAACTATAGTAGTACAAATTTAAATAATTAAACCATACTTCGGTCCAGTTCAATCCGGTACCGGTTCTAATTTTATGAGAACCCGTCATGGCATTGTTTGGAACCGGTACGGTCTGATTCGGGACAAAAAAATTGAGATCCGTTTCGAACCCCATTTATCAATCCGGTATCATACCGATCCGGTTCGGTACCATGCCGGTTCAGTATTTTTGCCCACCCCTAGACAGATGTATAATTGGCATGAATATTTTTTGAAATAAGAAGGAAGAAATATATCTTACAATAAGATTAGGAGTATTATTGAGTAAATAAACCTGGGCCACACCACTTTTATCCATTGAATTCGTTTACTTAAATTCTATGTTATTTGAATGGATCATATGATTAGTTTTTTTTTAAGTTTTTGTAAAAGTGATTTAACCCTGTAGCGGTTCATAACTAATAAACGACAGGTCTTATCCACTGAGATATATTATACTCCTATTTTGAATGTGTGTTTGAACTAAACTGTCCTACAATTTGGAATTTGCAATGTAAATGTCAATATGTCGAATCTTAAACATAAATTAAAACTTAGAATCCATGAAAATCTATTTGCATTATTTTTCGGAAAGAGTTAAGCACATGATTTGGAAGCGGTGCAAATCTTATAATTTTCCATGAAGTTTTTCATCTTAGAAAGCACCCTTCCATGAAGTTTTTAATAGACTCCTTCCTGAAATAGGACCACAAAATAGTGAGATGAAAAGGCTTCTACCATGTATCTTCTTATTTTAAAAATTGTCTTGCTTCGGTTCATTAAGCATATCACAAATAGTAGCTATGGTGATATGGTCACTGAGAACATTTTGCTTCTTCACTCTGTGTTAACTGTAAACATAGTCAACATTGCGTTATCATCTTCTATGCCAAATCTGATTTACGAATGGTATGTATTAGTTGGAGCATCCAATGATTAATGGTGTTAATAATAATTATTGAAGTGCAAATTTTATGCCATTTTGAACATTGATATTTCCTCATTATGTAAGACAAATCTGTAAAAAATTTATTCGAATTAAGTGGATTCTATATTGCAGTAAGATAAAATGTGTACATTAAGAAAGAATTTGAGGTGTGCTAGGTATAGTAAATGGTTGAGTTTTATATGTTAGGAATCTATAATGATTTGGTGAGCGTGACCATATCCTAGTGTATAAATTATAATTTATAAGCCCATTCTAATAAAATGAATAGATTGATTATGGCCTCTTTACTGTACCGATTCATTATACACATGAAATGATATTTATACGACCACATGCTCCGATGTTTTTCGACATCAAATTTTATAATTAGAGAATAACTCTACATTTAATCTTAATGCAGAAGCTTGGTGTTAAGGCTGTAACTTTCAGACAAATCCAATCCTCTTGTGCACCAAGGTAATTCAAATTGAAAGTGTTTGCTTGTGTAATGATATAATTTCTTCACACACTCTGGATACATCTATGCGTTTGAATATAATTACTTTAGGTTAATTATGATCTTGTGGTTTTCCCCCTTTATCAATTATATGAAGTTTGCATTTTTCAGTTCTTTGCATTGTAAAGTCGCCATACTTTTTTTCCTTTTATCGGAAGAGGCAGATGACATTACAATAGGCTAAACGCATAACACATCACTTTTGTAAAAGACTAGATTCTCACCCGTGCGATGCACGGGACATATATGAAGTAATAGCTATATCATATTATTGGTTAGTAGTATTAGGTAAGGTATAAATGAATGCAAAATGTAGGGGTGGGCACGGTCCGGTCCAATATTTTGCCGATCCCGTACCCGTACCGTGACTATTGAAACAGTTCGGTTTGGTTTGGTTTGGTCTTAGACCTAAATCCGTTCGATACGGTTTTATTTTCAAATGGAACGGTACCATGCCATACCAATATCAAACAATGCCACTTTTTTCAAATGTTTAAGTGAAAATTAAAGTTTTGTCATTCTCCACAAGTCCACACAATTTATCAATTTTCATTTTACATACTACCTCCGTCCCAAATTGATATGCAAAGTCAACCTTTTTTATGTCAAACAATTTCTAATTTGGATTTTGCAACTTTAAAGAGATTTTAATGTGGTTTCTAAATATGTAAATTTTAACCATTAAAAATTGTATTAATTATCAATAGAGTGGTCATAACATTAGCATTTGTTGACCAAAAAGTATTGACTTTACATATCAATTTGGGACGGATTAAGTAATTAATAAATTTTAGATAAACTATAGTAGTACAAATTTAAATAATTAAACCATACTTCGGTCCAGTTCAATCCGGTACGGGTACTAATTTTATGAGAACCTGTCATGGCATTGTTTAGAACCGGTCCGGTCTGATTCGGGACAAAAAAATTGAGATCCGTTTCGAACCCCATTAATCAATCCGGTATCATACCGATCCGGTTCGGTACCATGCCGGTTCAGTATTTTTGCCCACCCCTAGACAGATGTATAATTGGCATGATTATTTTTTGAAATAAGAAGGAAGAAATATATCTTACAATAAGATTGGGAGTATTATTGAGTAAATAAACCTGGGCCACACCACTTTTATCCATCGGTTCCAGAGTTATCGGTTAAACTGATGCTCTCTGAAACCCTCCGTCCTTACTCCCTTCGTCTCTACAAACTTCCTCCCTTCTCCTCCGTCAGTTCTTTTCTACATCGCTTCTCCCTTCATCCTTGTTTCCTTCGTCCCTACATCCCTCCGTCTCCTCAAAGGCTGCAAACTATTTTCGCTAGTTCTATAAAGTGATTGATGCACCAACTTTCTGTTTCCCTTCATCGTTTGTGTTTGTACTCAAACAATGGTGGCCAACCGGTAATCTGACAACTGGAACGCTGATGGTTATATGTCATATCTTCGTCCTCAATTGTATTTAACAAGTTGTATCTGTTGACTCATGCATGTTAATTGACAACGTTTTTGTTAGAGTAGGTACGGTACCAATTTTTAAAAGGGTCTTCACACTTTTGTAAATCTAGTTATTTAATCGATTTGATAGAGGATACATAAAACCTAATCAGTTCTTTGAGTATTTTAGTTGTGTATGATTATGTTATGTTCTAGATTTCGTAGAGTATTTTGTAGTCTATATTTAATATATAGACATTGAATTCGTTTACGTAAATTCTATGTTATTTGAATGGATCGTATGATTAGTTTTTTTTTAAGTTTTTGTAAAAGTGATTTAACCCTGTAGCGGTTCATAACTAATAAACGACAGGTCTTATCCACTGAGATATATTATACTCCTATTTTGAATGTGTGTTTGAACTAAATTGTCATCCTCGGTGTCGGCCTCAACGCCAAACCCGATCTCACTATTGAGACATGGGCCCATCAGGAAGCCGTCAAAAGGCTCGAGCTCGAGTCCTCTTCACAATCCGAGTGATTGTTTGATCAGTCAATCTGGGTATGCTTTTGTTACGCCCTCTTCTGGAATTTAGGGTTTGGGAGAGAAGATCACATTCTGAGAAGTTTTCTATTTATATTTCCCGATGCAATTTGGTGGAAAATAATTGTTGATGTTCATTAACTCATGATTTGAATGGTCAAATTAGACTCCGTTATAAAATAACTTCAGTTTACAGCTTTGTTTGACATGGAAAAAAAACATATCAATTTGGGACGGATTAAGTAATTAATAAATTTCAAATAAACTATAGTAGTACAAATTTAAATAATTAAACCATACTTCGGTCCAGTTCAGTCCGGTACCGGTTCTAATTTTATGAGAACCCGTCATGGCATTGTTTGGAACCGGTACGGTCCGATTTGGGACAAAAAAATTGAGATCTGTTTTGAACCCCATTTATCAATCCAATACCATACCGATCCGGTTCGGTACACCATGCCGGTTCGGTATTTTTGCCCACCCTGGAAACATGTATAATTGGCATGATTATTTTTTGAAATAAGGAAGAAATATATCTTACAATAAGATTGGGAGTATTATTGATTTTTCCCATCATGAAAATATTGGCTCATAAGATTGATAAACCGAAAAACATGATCACCAAACGTGTTCCAAATATCTACTCTATACTACAATTACACATTGTTTAAATGATATTTGTACACTTTTCAAATATAATAATCCCAAACCAACCGAGACCCATCTAACCCATTTAACTCTGCCCATTAATACCCAACCCAACTTAACCGTCATATGGAGTATACTATATAGAGTAAATAAACCGAGACCCATCTAACCCACTTTTATATAGAGTTATCGGTTAAACTGATGCTCTCTGAAACCCTCCTTACTACCTTCATCTCTACAAACATCCTCCCTTCTCCTCCATCTGTTCTTTTCGACATCGCTTCTCCCTTCACCCTTATTTCCTTCGTCCCTACATCCCTCTGTCTCCTCCAAGGCTGCAAACTATTTTTGCTAGTTCTATAATGTGAGTGATACACCAACTTTCTGTTTCCCTTTATCGTTTGTGTTTGTACTCAAACAACGGCGGCCAACCGGTAATCTGACAATGGGAACGCCGATGGTTATAAATCATATCTACGGCCTCAATTGTTTTTAAGAAGTTGATCTGTTGACTCATGCATGTTAATTGACAACATTTTTGTTTGAGTAGGTACGATACCCATTTTTTAAAGGATTTTCACCCTTTTGTAAATCTAATTATTTAATCGATTTGATAGAGGATACATAAAACCTAATCAGATCTTTGAGTATTTTAGTTATGTATGATGATTGATGCATTTAAAAAATGGGAATATATGTTCTGTTCTAGATTTAATTTCTATATTAGAGTATTTCTATATTTAGTTATCTTAGAGTATTTTGTAGTCTATATTTAATTTCTATGACTTTGAATTTGTTTGCTTAATTTCTATGTTATTTGAATGGATCATATGATTACTTTTTTTCAAAAGTTTTTGTAAAAGTGATTTAACCCTGTAGCGGTTCATAACTAATAAATGACAGGTCTTATCCACTGAGATGGATTATACTCATATTTTTGAATGTGTGTTTGAACTAAACTATACTACTTTTTGGAATTTGCAATGTAAATGTCAATATGTCGAATCTTAAACATAAATTAAAACTAAGAATCCATGAATATCTATTTGCATTATTTTTGGAAAGAGTTAAGCACATGATTTGGAAGTGATCCAAATCTTATAATTTTCCATGAAGTTTTCCATCTTAGAAAGCACCCTTCCATGAAGTTTTTAATAGACTTCTTCCTGAAATAGGACCACAAAATAGTGAGATGAAAAGGCTTCTATCATGTATCTTCTTATTTTAAAAATTGTCTTGCTTCGGTTCATTAAGCATATCACAAATAGTAGCTATGGTGATATGGTCACTGAGAACATCCTCACTTCTTCACTCTGTGTTAACTGTAAATGTAGTCAACATTGCGTTATCATCATCTATGCCAAATCTGATTTACGAATGGTGTGTATTAGTTGAAGCATCTAATGATTAATGATGTGAATCATAATTATTGAAGTGCAAATTTTTAGACATTTTGAACATTGATACCTCCTGATTATGTAAGACAAATCTGAAAAAAAAATTATTCTAATTAATTGGATTCTATAGTGCAGTAAGATAAAATGTGTACATTAAGAAAGAATTTGAGGTATGCTAGGTAAAGTAAATGGTTGAGTTTTTTATATGTTAAGAATCTATAATGATCTGGTGATAAAGTGCAGTAAGATAACATTTTTCTTTTATGATATCAGAAGTCTGTTGTAAGGAATAGGAACTAAAGGTATTATTTGTTAGATTAGGAACTAAAGGTATTATTTGTTAGATTAGGAACTAAAGTGCATATGACAGTACCTCCACATAGTCATGCTTTTAATTTGTTTTGGTAATGCAGAAATGAATATTACAGCACTTCCAGCTCTTCAATTCCATCCGGTCTTGAATGATATGATACCGCCTCCTTCTCCCGCTATTCCACATGATCAGCTACCTACGGCTGAACATGTGGTCATGGAATTGAAGCATCTAGGATCTGTAATCCAGGAACACCAAAGAGGGCTGGATATCATATCAACTGAGGAGCTTGCTGAGCGTATACGCCGCAATCATAGGATTGTTTCTAGGTATTCTCAAACTGATGGAGATGTTGTGACAATAGCGCAACAAATGCAAGGTCAAATGCAACAAATGCAACAAATGCAAGGTCAAATGCAACAAATGCAAGGTCAAATGCAACAAATGCAAGGTCAAATGCAACAAATGCAACAAATGCAAGGTCAAATTACAGACCAAATTACAGCGCTCACTGCCTTGGTGACAGCTCAAAATGGCCAATTGAACGCGATTGCAGGACAAATAACTGGCCAAGGACAACAAATTGAGCTTCTAAGTGTAAGGTTGGACGCATCTGCTGCCCGTGCTCACAATTCAGCAAACACGTCAAATGCTCTAAACCTTCTTCGTCCAATAGTGAAAACTATTCCCAACCATCCCGACCCACAACCACATCCAGCTTTCCACTTCAATGAAAACTCATATGCAATTGGTACACCACCCCCGGATGGACTTGTTCCACACACTTTTGAAGCCGTTAATGCCATTGATAGTCATAACCAGTTTGATGCAATATATTGGTTTTATAATGATGCAAAACTTGCAAGAGGAGACAAAAACTTGATCCAACGACGATCAGCACTTGCAACATTTATGAAGAGCTAGGTTATTTTTTTTGTCCATTTTTATTCTTCATGATTTTTATCAGTTACCCTTGGTTCCAAAGTTTACCTGAGGTGCATCTTTATACAAAATTCTATGTACTTAACATTATGGGCATGCATGATTGCATTTTATTATGCAATGCTCTGAGCACTTGGGTTAGGGTTTCTCAACAGGAGCATAGGCTGTGGGGCAAATCCCAAAAAAGAATAGGCAGTCAAGTAGGGAAGTGTAGGGTATGTTTTGGAGTTTAGTTTTGGGGGGGGGGGTTGTTGAGTTGGTGGCCTCGGGGTCGTTTGTTCATTTCTTCAATTAAATAAAAGAACTATATATGGTTTATTGTCATAAATAAATAAATAACGACATTGAGTTTATGCTATTTTAAAACAAAATGGAAAGTAACCCCACCACTCTCTTTCCACAAAACCTGAAACTCCCAAGGACACCCTTAGGTGGCGTTTAGTTCACGGAATGTAAGATTACTGTATATAATGTGATTGCCTCCAGGAGTGTTATTTTATCTAAGTAATAGGATTATTTAGGGAATGTTAAGTTACAAGAATGTAAAATTACATGGTGGGTTTGGTTGAGATAACATTAGTGTCTTGGATGCTGACCTGTGGCAACAATGTTGTTACTTATCATGCCAGAGATGTGGTGAAATGTTATCTGGCCCTCAAAGCTAGTGACTTATTTGTTTATCATTTTCAAGATTGTATTTATCTTGGGATTTTTCTTGTACATGCAGGTCCAGATGGCCTTTTCGAGGTGAATAACCATTGATTGTTGCCCCTGTCATTGTGAAAACAAGGAAATGTTTGTTGGGAATTGCTTCTAAGATCTTGTTGTATCTCGTTCAGTATTGCAGCTCAAGTTTTTATTTTCCTGATTTTTATGTTACTTAACATTAGGAAATATTGACATAACAGTTTGGAATATAATTTCTCCCACAACTCCAACTTTCAGAACTATACTTCAAGCAAAATGCTGAAGAAAATTTCTGACTTGATTTGGTCATTTGGCTTAACTTTTTTTGGTACTTTATGCTTTTCCTTTTAAATTGTTGTATGATCCTAAATAAATAAGTACAACGTATTAGAACTAAGAGGATCTTCAATGCATTCAAGTCTAGTCCAAATAAAGTGTGACATATCATCAATTTGAACATTGTTCATTTAATTTCCTCCCCAATGCATTTAGTCCTCCATTCAATTTTGATGATTTGGCAAAAAAAGTTACACTGGATTTAAATGTTCGGATGTAGACACTATGGAACTAGGCATGAACTCGGGCCGGGCCTCGGTTCGGTTCGGATTGGGCTTTTTTTGAAAAAAGTTAGGCTAGGAAACTGGCCCGGGTTGCTCCGAGCCTGGTTCGGGCCAGTTCATCCGGTGGTTCACGGGCCGGCCCAGGCTGGGCCGGTTCATCATATTTCTTTTGATTTCTAATTCCTTCCTACTCCCCAATAAGGGTGGATTTAGTTCGGGCCACCTGGCCCGTGACCGGCCTAGCCCGCTATTGTGCGTGACCCGGCTCAGGGTGGGGTAAAAAAACTATAAATACTCCTAATGTTAATCATTTTTCCATCTCTTTTCCAATTTCTAAGTCATACTTTCTCTAATTATCTTCATCTTCTCAAATTCTCTTATTCTCCAATATACTTCCTCTGTCCCAATTTGATTTGTAAAATTTCCTTTTTTTATTTTGTCCCAAAATGATTTTCCATTTTCTATTTTAGGTATGTAAATAATAATAAAGTGACAAATTTACCATTACTTTTATTTTTTCCCCATTAACTTAAAGACATCTACTTTTAGAAGGATGATTTAAAGTGTAAAAAGCAAGCATCATTTATCGTCATTTCTTAATTCTTGTGCCGGTCAAAGTTTGCAATTCAATTCGAGATGGAGGGAGTATTATATATCTACTTATATTATTTATCTACTTATAAATACATATATTTATATTACTTATATTTCTTATGTATTTATATATTAATTATCTACTTATAAATACATATATTATATTATTTTTATTACATTTTTAAGATGAAAGGTAGTAGATATTCGGTTGATATGGGTAACCTCGAACGCAACCGAACGAACGAGCTTGCGAGGAAGAAGAGATCCTGCAAAGGTAAATCTCATATCGGCTTTCATCTCAAAGTCGAGATGACTTTGATACGAGTTATGCAAGGAGGGATGGAGATGCGATGACCGACGAACAACTAGAACAAGAATAACACCGAAATAATGTAAATCCATAATATTATATTTTGTGACATTTGTAAATTCATAAAATTAATTAATTAATTAATTTTACATTATGTAATTCATTCAAACTAAAATAAACAAAAAAAATTTGAAATCAAAGGCCTTAAATGGCTATATAGCCGTTGGCCAATTGGGGTTAGGCTTGGACTTGGGCCGGGCCGCCGGTTCCGTATCCATAGGCCCGAGACCGGCCCGGGTCTTGACCGGTTCCGGGCCGGGCCGGTTCCAGTTCATTTTTTAAAATTCTTATTTATTTCACCCCCATCCCCCATCCCCCCAACCTCCCAAACCCCTCGGAAATACCCAGCCTAGCCCAACTAAACCCAGCCAAACAAAAAAAAAGGCCCGAATAGTGGATTTGGCCGGTTCCAGGCCGAAATAGTGCCGGTTCGATCCGATTCTGGTTCGGTTGACTTGACCCGAGTCCATCCCTATGTAGAACATGTACAACAATTTTCCATGAATATAATTTACTCTACCTATTTAGTAAAGCCTTACACTTTTTGCATTGGAACCTTTTTTCGTATTTTAGGCCTTGTTTGGTTCAAAGGAGGGGTAGGAGTGGACTCGGGCCGGGCCAACCGGCCCGGAACCGAACCGGCCCGCTACTGTGCGGGCCTGGACCGGCCCGCTACTATGCGGGCCCGGACCGGCCCGGTTTGTCGGTTAGGTCACGGTTCGGGCCACCCGGCCCGGTCATGTAGCAGTTCGGGTCCGGGCTGATATTTTGGTGAACCGGCCCGGCCGGTCCGGGCCCGGTCCGAGCCTCAACGGTCACCATTTTAATTTTTTTTTTAAATAATTCAAGGCTCTACTAGCCGTTGGGAGACCTCCCAAACGGCTCTATAGCCGTTGGGAGCATAGGAGGGGGGGTCTGGGGGGTTAGGGTGGGTGGGGTGGGGGTGGGGGTGGGGTATACAAAAAAAACCTATTTATACTCCTATTTTCTATACAATTTTTACACCTCTTCTTCTACAACTCTTCCTACTCTCTAAATTCTCTATTCTCTCAATCTCTCATATTCAATCATCTTCATTCTTCATCTTCTCCAAATTCTTTCTACATATATATAATTTATATAATTATTATATCTACTTATATATTATAATATTAATTATCTACTTATAAATATATACTTATACACATTCATATTATAATTCTTTACGCATTATATTATATATACTATATATAGTTATACATTATATTATATATTACTTATAATATATTTACACATTATATATTTATATATACTATATATATATAAATTACTTAGTTTATATATACACTTCTCGTTTATCTATTTAATTACTTAATTGTTTCATTTTTCATATTAATATTAGTTAAAGTAGTTAATTGTTTCATTTGTCATATTAATATTAGTTAAAGTAGTTAAAGTTAATTGTTTCATTTGTCATATTAATATTAGTTAAACTACTTAATTGTTACATTTCTCATATTAGTTAATTAGTTAATTGCTACATTTTTACATTTCTCATATTAGTTAATTGCTACATTTGTACATTTCTCATATTAGTTAATTAGTTAATTGCTACATTTTTACATTTCTCATATTAGTTAATTAGTTAATTGATACATTTTTACATTTCTCATATTAGTTAATTGCTACATATCTCATTAAAGTAAAAAAAACTAGTTAATTTTTACATTTCTCATATTAGTTAATTAGTTAATTGCTACATTTTTACATTTCTCATATTAGTTAATTGCTACATTTGTACATTTCTCATATTAGTTAATTGCTACATTTGTACATTTCTCATATTAGTTAATTAGTTAATTGCTACATTTTTACATTTCTCATATTAGTTAATTAGTTAATTGCTACATTTTTACATTTCTCATATTAGTTAATTGCTACATTTTTTACATTTCTCATATTAGTTAATTGCTACATATCTCATTAAAATAACAAAACTAGTTAATTTTTACATTTCTCATATTAGTTAATTGCTAATATTTGTTCAATTTTAAAGATGGAGCGTGGTAGACATTCTGTAGATGTGGGTAATCTCCAACGCAACCGCAAGAGGGAGATTGCATCGACTCGATCTACTTCACGCAAAGGCAAAGGTAAAGCGCGGGCCGAGTCTTCTTTTCAAAGTCGAGATGATTTTGAAACGGATTACCAACGGCGAGATGGTATGATGATGTCCGACGAGGAACTACAACACCTATTGTCCCAAAATGATCCACGTTTTGCACAAGAACAACAATTCCCGAACCCCATCGATGAAGAGGAGCTCGAGGATGACGATGGGGAGGACGACGCGGGGGGCGACGGGACTCCGGATGATGAGCAAGAGGACGAGGGCCCTTCAACGACTACAACCTAAATTCGTAAGAAATCTAAATCTCCTAATATTGAAAACAATTATACAAAAAGGAAAGACGAACAAACCGAAAAATGGTACGCAAGTTGCAATCATTGCAAGAAAGAGTTTAGCTTGGGAACTTCTGGCGGATACGGGAGTCTCAAAAGGCATCCTCAGCCCGCCCACTTTATGGAGTATGCGAAAATAGACAAAGGAAAGGGGAAGCAAACACAAATATCAAGGTTTGCAAATTCTCAACCCTTTGGTAATTTTCCTATGATGATAAAAAACATTTGACTGGTATGTCTCATTTAATTGTTGAAGAAAATTTACCCTTTATTTTTTCCGAAAGTCTTGCTTTAAGAGATTATGCTCAAGGTACTTTAAATCCTCAATTTAGAATTTATAGTCGCAAAACGATTAAAAAAGAAGTTATAAGGCAATATAACTTGGAAAAAGAAAAATTACAAATATTTTTCGCAAACTTTGATGGACGTGTTAGTATTTGTAGCGATATATGGGAGGATACTTATCATCATTTATATTATTTGGGTCTAACTGCACATTATATTGATGATGATTGGAATATGCATAAACATGTTCTTGCTTTTCGTGAATTCAATGATCGTCACACTGCTGATAATATTTATATTCTCATTGAACGTATTTTAATTGAGTATAATTTGATTGATAAGGTGTTTGCTGTAGGTTTTGATAATGCTAGTAATAATACTGCTGCTATACCTAGATTACGTGAATTGTGTGGTGCTTCTACATTGATGGGTAGATTTTTTCATCAACGTTGTGCATGTCATATTCTAAATTTGTGTGTACAAGATGGCTTAGCGGCATTAGGAAATGCTTTGGAGGTAGTGAAGGGGGAATTAAATTGATTTGGGCTAACACTCCACTAAAAATGCAATGGCGGCAATATTTGAATGATAGACGTGTGAATTATTGTGCTTTTCCTAAAGATTTGTCTATTCGTTGGAATATTACTTATAATTTAATTCAAGTACTTGTTAGATATAAAGATCATTTTCCAGCTTTTTTAAGACAAACTTGTAACTATATTATAAACCCGGCTGACATCGACACTTGTGAAAAAATTGTTAATGTTTTGGCATATTTTAATAACGCAACTCTAACTTTTAGTCATGTTTATAAACTTACCGCAAACGAATTTTTTGTTGAAGCTGTTAATCTCGCCGGCGCTTTTTGTGAATTTTCCGACGCCACTTACGTTAGTTATTTTTGTGATTTCATGAAACAAAAGTTTTTAAAATATTATTCACATATTCCGCATATATATGGTATTGCATTTGTTCTTGATCCTCGTTATAAACTTCCTTACTTGGCAAATTGTATAGATTACTATTATGCTTCTTTTTTCCAACTCAAGAGTTCGATGATAATCCCATCGACCCTAAACAAGAATTCAACGAGGTTAGTAATTTATTTCATCAATTGTATAATGAATTTCATGCACAATATGGTAATGCACCCCCTCCCATGCAACGAACATCTTCTTCATCTAAAGGAAAATCACTTTTAAAATCCGCTTTTGGTTCTCTTTTGAAAAAAAGTAGAGCAACTCCCGCTACTGAACAAAGCTCAGGTAACGAGCTTTCTTTGTATCTAACATTGAATGTTGATTATGAAGTTGGTGATGACTTTGACGTTCTTAAGTGGTGGAAGGAAAATGAAAGAACATTCCCGATTTTATCAAAGATGGCTAAGCAAGTACTAGCAATGCCGATATCAACCGTTGCCGTGGAACAAGAATTCAGTGCGGCCGGCAACGTCCTAACCGATTATAGAACGAGGTTGAGCCCGAGCTCTCTTGAGACACTAGTTTGCTTTCACGATTGGTTGAAGGCCCAACGAAGAACTCAAGATATTACCATCACTCCCACCCGCCACTTTATGGAGGAAACAACCGAAGGCGGAGAGTCCGATTGATTTTTTATTACAAAATGTATTACATTTTTTAAATTCATCATAATTCTCAATTGTACTTCTTATTTGAAATAAATATACTTCAATTCGAATATAATATATTGTAATTGTAATAAGAATTATTCTAATTATATAATATTTAAATAAAAAAAAATTAAATAGGCCCGGCCCGGCCCGCCGGGCGGCCCGGCCCGTGAACCGGGCGGGTGACCCGAACCGAACCGGACCCGAGGTTATCCGGGCCGGTTCCGGGCTTGCCTTCCTTGAACCGAGGCCCGGCCGGTTCTAGGCCCGAACCGGGCCCGGCCCGAACCGAGTCCACCATTAAGGAGGGGAGACCGGGAGGGAAGGGGAGAGTCAAGGAGGGAAGAGAAAAGAAGGGAAATGAATGAATTAATTTTCTGCCCAATGAATTGAACTAAATAAGCAGCCACCACTACAATTCCAACCAACCTTTTTTAGTAAATTAAAAATGGAAAGATTAAGAGCTGCTTGTTATGCATACAAGTGGGTGGAGAAATTCGAGCATCTCTGTTCACGGATTAATATCTGGGTTTTTAGCCATGAGCAAAGCTTTCTATAACAATTATATACTTGATTTTGAAAATTAACCACTTCCTAATTAACCTTCCTTTTTATGAAACCTAAAATATTAAGTTATGTAATATATGTAGTATTAAGTTTTTATTAAGAACTCACCACAGGTAGAAATGTCTGCATATCAAGGTTAAGAGATGTGCATATTAAAGTTGATGAATGTGCATATTAAGGGTACATGATGTGCATTCTATATTTATAATGCCTCCATAACCTATATTAAACTATATAGTGATAAAATATGTCGACGCTGCATTTTAGTAGTTCATAATTGTTTTTATCATTTTGACATGTGCACTTTAGAAGTTTTTATATTTCATTTCAGTAAATAAGTTGATATGTGCATTTTAAAAGTTCGTACTACATCTTATTTTTGTGACAACTGCATTTTATTAGCTCATATGTTGCATTTTATCCTTATGATATGTACATAATAGAAGTTTGTATATTGCATTTTAGTAAGGTGACACATGCATTGTACAAGATCATTTGATGCATCATATAGTTATATCATCTGCATGGTGACTATTGTAAGAAGACCGCTAAAATGTTGGATTATTAGTTTTCATTTTCCCTATAATATATGAGAAACATGTTTTAAAAGGTAAAAAACATAACATGCGTGCATAATAAAGTTACAAAAGCTCTGCATGAACATGAAATTGTTGAATTGGTTAAAAACAAAAAGGAAAAAGGGTCAAATAAGCGCTTTACTATCTCCAATCCGTCACTTAAGCCCCTGTACTAAAAAAGTATCATATAAGTACTTGTATGATGGAGTATATGGCCCGGGAACCCCCGGTCCACAGACTCCTACTACGCCAATAAAGGCCCAATAGGCCCAGGAAGCACAACAGGCCCAGATCACGGCGCCCGGAGTACCAAACAGCCCACAATGCGCACCATTGTTGCCTTCGGCCCCCTGGACGAAGGCTCTGATTCTCACAGGAAGGTCAAAACAGGAAAACAAAGTTACTGGGAGAAAACAACGAAAATCAGTAGCCCTCGGCACTAAAGGGGTCCTCGATACTCAGAGCCCTCAGCTAGTCACCTACAGCCGAGGGCACCTTTTCCGACATGATATCCGCTCCATATGCGTATGGATCACCGTACCCAGTACGACGTCACATCCAACAGCCACATTAAATGCGGCCACATGCGACTGCCAGCACCAACCCGTTGAGGTGACATCTCGGCCAATGGACGCTTGACACGTGTCCTTATCTGGCATTTATTACTACTATAAATAGCACCCCATTTCCCCATTTGTAACCAAGACACAACACGCTGAAAACGCTGAACACATTTATAGTATACTCTCTCTCTCTCTACTTACTTGCTCTGACTTCTCTCTAGTTATTCCTCGTAGTAACCCCTCGGATAAGCTACCCCCCGGGTACACTATCCATCATTTGGTGCTCTCGTTGAGAGGTCGAACAATCAAGTAAGAAACCCTCCCCCTCGACCAAACACAAAACACCCAGCTAAAATGGCGAGAACAACTCGTGCCAACTCGAAGAATGTAGAGGACAGGAACCTGGCCTCGGCGAGGTCGACGTCCCCGAAGCCTCTAACAGGGCTCCCGGGGGTGGCGTCATCGCCGGGTTGGACCAGACGGCTGTAGACCTACGCCAGCAGATTCAACAAAATGCCCCCGATGCCCGCCTCGGCAACGAGGCCAAGAAAAAGGACCGGAGCGAGAATCAAATTAGCCCTCCGGTCATCACAATCGACGTGCAATCGGCGCTCTCCGCCTTCATCCAGACGCTCACCCAGAACCCGGAAAGCTCAGCCAACAACAGCTCAAAACGTCCCCGAAGGCTACTGTATAACAAAGCTATCAGATGGTGGTCAAACGAAATCAAGAATCACCTCCGGCACCTCACTACATGCCGAGGGGATACATCCAGTCAATTCCCGAGGGAGTCTGCCTTTTTATGCTAGATTTGGATTACAAACTCTCCTATATCAACATTGGGGGGACATAACAAACAGCCGAAGGCTTTTTGTTGTCACGAGCCAACATTACAAGGCAAAGGAAACTATCCTAAACCTACAACATATACAGCCGAAGGGTCCCCTCCCGAAGGCCAGCAGCAGGAAATACTTAGAGAAAATAATCTAAGTCCTAAATACTTTGCCCCCTGTGGGGCCACCAGCCAGCCGAGGGCGCATCTGGGAAAAGGTCCTCACATTCACCCGAAGGCTCCTCCTTCATACAAACTACACTTGGAAAAATTTCTAAGTCCCAAAAGTTTTTTTGACCCTCGGTCAAATCTCCATGCAACCAGAGGGGCCGCACATTCAAAGGCTTGATGAAACTACACTTACAAAAAATTTCTAAGTCCTACATATTTGGTAAAAGTATACTTAGAAAAATTTTCTAAGTCCTAACTATTTCTGGGCCCTCGGTCATATATCCGGCCAG